TGTAGTGTTCCGGTAGTGGACTTGAAACCACTACTACCAACTACTTCTACGACTGCTTCTGCTGCTACTACCACTACTACTACTACTACTACTACTACTACTACCACTACCACTACCACTTCTACTACTGCTAACTACTGCTACTGCTACTGCTACTACCACCAGCCCTACTGCTATGGTTAAGGCGAGGACAACTACTGCTCCTACCACGACTACTCACGGTGCTGAGCGTTGGGGGGACATGGTCCTACAGGCTGCGATGCTCACTCATACCGAGAAGCAGTTCCCATGGGCAAGACCACCATGTCCCGGAGCGCAGTTGAAGCGCCGCCTTCTGAGATTCCTCGTGGATTCAAGCACCAGGTTCGTTTGGTGTCGTGTTGTGCCAGATAGACCTGCTCAGGCTCATAAAGGATCTTGCGAAGAAGTGGAAGGGGGTAGAGTATGATCTGTTGCGGCACAACTGCTGTCATTTCTCAGTGACTCGGCGTGCGTGCAGGCAGCGGTTTTGTTGCTTTTGCTGCTGGGACCTTGTGTAAAGTCAAGACGCCACAAGGATGCTTTATGCGTAGCGCTCGGGGTGGGGCACGTCCCCGGCTGGGTCACCAGCTTGGCCGGAGTGGGCGCCATGTTGAGGACAGGGCAGCGACAAAGGCTTGTCAGAGTTTTTGTCCACATTGTCCGCTGGTTGTTCTAGCCACGACTGCAGAACCTGTGTCAGCAACGGGACACATCGCACTGCAGCACGTTTGCGGAAGGCCCCCTTAAAGCATCACAGAGCCATACTGCAGCAGGAGCGGCACTCGCCTGGCCGCAGTTGGAGCAGCTGCCGCTGCAGCCTGAGACCAGAGAACAGACTGCTTGTTCTTGTTGTGCACAAGAGTTTCAGTGCCCTGTCAGGTGCCTCAGCTTGCGGTGCAAGGCTTCACTGCAGTGGCCGAACTGCTTGCAGGGCCTGACGCCGAGGCCCAGCACAAAGCAAGGAAACAGCCCAGTCACGTTCTACGAGTCATGCGTGGACATGTTTGTGAAGTCTTTTGTTGCCCGTTTCAACACAGTCACATGTTCCTGGCAAGAGCACATCGCCCTCTTGCGCAGCGCACAGGAATCGGAAGGTCACCTCGGGAATCCAAAGCCCCTTGAGGCGAATCGCAGAATGCGGCCGATGCGCGTTCAGCTGTAAGGGTTGAGGGATGCTTTGGTGGAATTATACGATCCATTCAGATGCCAGATCGTGGCGTCAGGACAGAAGTCCTGCGGCAGAGGCGCGCAGACCTGACCCGATGCGCAGCCGCCTCAAGTTCTCGCACAGATAGCAAGCTTGCTCGAAAGAGTAATTACATTGGCCGGCAAGCTTTGCATTTGAGCCGTCCGAGGATGTCACGTTGAAGGTGAGCTGCAGGATGCGGCGAGGTATGGAGGATACAAGGCTCCGGGTGAAACTGGCCTCCGCAACAGCGACTCGGTTGCAACGGGTTGAAATTCTGGGGTAAGCTCAATCATGCATTAAGGACTTAAGCATGATTAGTGGTGCAGTTTCTATGCTCGCATCACTTTAGTTTTGGAAGGTGCAGCCAACTCAGACGGTACTCCCTCCCCAACAAGTCCAGCACTGACAAGTCCTCCTTCAGCTACAAGGCGCACATTTCGGCTTTACACTGGGCATGGGCCGAGCGGCATCATGTCTCAATGACCAACATTAAGTCCCCCGCATGGGGCGAGTGTAGGCTGGAGTCTCACGCAAAGCTGGCTGTCGGTGATGCCGTCGAGGTTTTCAGCAACTCCCGCATTTTGGCTGTTTTTGCCAAGTGTACCTAGCAGGGCAGAACAGTGTCCTTCGCTCGAGGTCAGCTTTGGTGTTCCGGAGAAGTCAAGTCCCTCGATTTGCACGGGTCCCGACCTTGGCGGTGTTGCTGCGGCTTTGGTGCAGATTACAGTGCAGATGTGTGTATATATACATATATATATATACACACATCTGTGTGTCTCTGTGTATGATATGGTATGTACGTAGAGAGAGAGAGGTAATTTGAAGAGACTACAAAGTGACACTACTGCTAATTATACATCGATCGATCTATCTATTTATCTATAAAACTATCTGTCGGTCTATCTATCTGTCTCTCGCCCCTGCTTGAACGAGCCTTTTGGTACAACACGCTCCACTCGGCCATAGATGCAATCAGTCCATAGAAGACACGTCTCCCCGCTACTGCCAAGTTCAACCTGATCTTTTGGGGCCAGTTGCGTCCTTGTTCCTCCCCTTCGGCTTGTGGCTTTTCCCGGCCTGCTCGGCCATAGTCGAGACCCTTAAACCGATCGGGACCTCAAGACAGTGCAGCAGTTCGCCAGCATTTGTCCGTGGTCCGTTGCTGCGTCTCAGCAGATGAGGACTAGTCATGAACTTGCGTTCCTCGATGAACTCCATGCGACGATGATCTGCCAGCTGGTGAGGTCTCCGCCCGCCGTGGAAGTGGTTTTCCTGATACCTGGCTCGCCAGACGTCGGCACTGGCGAGATGGCTGCGAAAAAGGCTAGGACCGGTTTTGGCGCGGCTTCGTTGGAATGGGGGGATTGCGAAATTTTTTTTCGTTGGTATTGCAGAATCAGCAAAAATCTGTGCAAGTCTTTTTGGGGCTCTGGCGTTCACGGCGGCTGTCGTCATCATCCAATGCCAGGTGGCGCTGGGCTCCAAGGAGACCTGTTCCTGCCGTGGCTTCTGATTGTGGGGGTCGTGTCGCTCGTTGCTTAATACTGCAAAGAGTGAGAGGACTTGCGGAAGTTGTTCCTTGGCTGAAAGTTTGTGTGCCGAGATAGGGAGACCGTGTGGTTTCAAACTGAGGAAGAGACCCTCGGAAACCGCCGGTTCACCCACCTGGTCCGTGGGAGACTGTGTGGAAGTGCCGGCCACTCTGTGGCTGTCGAATCTCAGGTGTCTCCATGCAGCCCCTGCTACCAGCTGAGGTTCAGCAACTCCAAGAGCTCTTGGTGCTCAGGTCGCATCACACAAGTTTCCTCAGACAAGGCGCATGTCAGAAGCTCTTGCGAATTTGGGTTGTTGAGATGGCTGGCGAGGTGAAGGTCGTGTACCAGCCACCCGGAGCATCAAACGACGACTGGCTCGAAAAGGAGCTGCTGGGCCAGCTACTGTCTACTTCGAGTGCCGAGCTTTTTTCTCATCGCTGTGAAGATGTTTGAAGATCTAAGAATCCAAGGCTACTGATGGGATCCGATGCATTGAGGAAAGTCCAGCCGTCGGAAGCGGACCTGCCCCTGAGCCCCAAGAGGAAGCTCGTGTGGAGTGAAGCCGAGGAGTCTGCGTACAAGGTCGCCTTTTCGCAGCTGCGGCCCAAGCAGCAAACTCCCCAAGTGCTCGATGCGAATGTCCTGGCCGAGTACTTGAAAACCTCGAAGCTCCCAAGGAAGGTGCTGAAAGAAATTTGGAAGGCTTCGGTGAGGTCTTCGACCCAAGCAGACTTCGACGAGTTTGGAGCCTGTTGCAGGCTCGTGGCACATTGCCAGCAAGCAATGAAGGAGCGCGATCAGGCAACCATGGAAGTGATGGAGCAGGCAGGCACACAGCTCAGGCAGCTGGTCCTGGAGAAGTTCATGGAGGAAGTCCCGACGACACTGCCTGATTTTTACGGCGGACCAGCGGGCTCAGGACACTGATGGACCAGGAGAAGGCATTCCGAACCTACGCCTCCTCGATAACGCGACAAGGAGCTTGGCGATCGACAACCCTGGACTTGCACTGAATCAAGACACGATGCCCGGGAGAGTGCCGTATGGCCTACAGGGCTACAGCGTCACCGGGGGCCCTCAACCACTTCTCCCAACCGTGCGCCGCCGTGGACCACGACAGGCTGTCAGAAGTGTGGATTCAAACGGATTCAAAAGGACGTCGTGGCTGTCAGCATAGCCGTTAGCCAAACGCTTTAGGAAGGACGCAGGTCACCTTAGTCTGCTTGAAATTGGTAAGAAGTTCCCAAGGAATAGTGCTTAATGAAGCATGTCAACTCCATCTTGTCTTTTCTGCTTTGCAGGTATGTTTCGCCACAAAATCCAAATCAACCTCAACGTGGGGATCAACTCAGAAGAACTCCAAGTTAGAGTGTCGTCGGAGATCGGCTAGTATTGAATTGGCAGAAACGAGTACAAGTCTTGTTGGAGAAAGGCCAATTTCGAGGTTTCTGGCGAGTGTTCGATGCAAGAGACAAAAAGTTTGAAATCTACTAGCATGGCCAGAAGATAGAAAGTCGCGGTACATAGTCGGACACCTAAAAGCAAGGCGCAAAATAGCCTGCCAAAAAGTCTGATGTCAGTGACAATGGTTTGCAGAAAGGGAGGCCGACAGACACTTGTTATAGACACCGGTCACCAGACGTTCTTGCAGGCCTTTGGCTCAGGCTGTTGCGTGATCATGAGCCTAGGAAACCAGGCTATCACCGCGACAGCACGAGGTAGATCGACAACAGCTTTGTCTGACAGACACAGACACGCTTCAACATGTTTCAACCAAGTAGTAGATATAGTCTACAGCAGTTTCTATATAGTCAGAAGCACTCCAGACGCACAGTCCGATTGGCCGAACAGGGTAAGAGACATGAGTCGCCAGCCGGGTCTTCCCGCAGAAACTGAGCTGGCTCAGTTGCAGGACAGCTCTTGGCCGAGTGTCCTACGCTCACAGTTGGACATGTGCTTTGCGGCTTTGCTGCAGTGCTGTGGGCTCGAGCCAGTGTCCGGTCCTCGAAGCCTCGCAGCAAGCTGTAGCAAGCTAGCCGGTAGTCATCATCCTGTCAGCAGAACGGCCACAGCGAGAACAGATGTTTGGGCAAGCGGCCTCCAATGTACATAGTGAAATGGTAATTTTGCAGCATACGACCGAGATAAGCAGCTTTCCCTTGCCAGTGCTCGTGAGCCTGATGGAGGTCCGGCCGGGGAGAGCTTGCGACCCTCCTTTCCCAGATATAGTCGAACCGCTCGCAGCCTTGCAGGCATCGGATGAAGCGGATGGCATGGCTGCACGCCGCAAGTTCTGCGTGCCGCTCTTCATCCCCTCCTTGCTGCAAGGAAAGAGTACAGCAGCACGACGCTCAGAGTGGCGGCCGATCAGATTACTCATTACTCAACGACTGCCAAGACTGTTGATAGTTTGCTGTCAGCGTGGGCAAGCGACTTCGTGGAAGGTGGTGACGCCTATGCTTCCAATCTTCATTCAGGAAGATCTTGGGGGAGTGGGCCCCGGTTCCGGCAAGCTGTGGGCTGTGGGCGACCAACAATTGGAAAGATGATCTTGTTAGATTCGAGGAAGTGTGGCCGACGTCGGGCTTGTGGCTTCAACCTATGCCCTGGCGCAAGTGGCAACTTCGGTGCCTATGGGCTTTGTCCTAGCCCACTTCAACCACAGGTTCGCTAGGGCTTTTCGAGCTTCTGGCACTGCAGTGCATGTGAACATGGACTTTTCGTCGCAGTGCCAGGCAGTCTTCGATGGCTGCGCTTGCTGTTTGCGTGCTGCACCCCGCCTGCAAACGGGCTGCAATTGCACAAGCACAGGAGGAAGACGAAGGCCGAACACAGAAGCTGATCACACCGCCTTGCAACGTGCTTGTCACTGTTCTCAGCTCTAAGCCTTCTGTGAGTCTGAACAGCGGAGAAGCCTGTCTGCCGGAGGGGGCACTCCTTTTCACATCGCCAATTCCCAGGACGTCCCTTCTGGCGTGTCAAAGTTCGAGCATCGTTCAACTGGTTCTGATCCGCCTCTCGGCTAAGCCTGCGCGAATCACCTTGGCATCTTGAGTGTCCAGCACTGCGTGTTGGAGTTGTTTGCTGAAAGGGCGGGCCGTTTGTTTGTTTGTCCGTTTGTTGGCACGATCTTCGAGACACTTGCTCTTGGTTTGGATGGCAGCTCGAGCCCGATTGCCACGTGATGCGCATGAGTGGAAGTTCGCTTTTGCCTGTCACTGTGCTTGCACTTGTTGCAGCCATTTTTGCACACAGCAAGCAGTTAGAAGAGCGAAGTGGCGACCGGCCATCGACTGTCGTGAGCATGAAGGTTTGTCTCGCAGCTGTTATTGCTGCGGCCTTCGCCGCGACAGCGATGTCACAGGACTCTCCCGCTGAGCTCCTTCGCGAACTACAGGCCCAGAAGGCCTTGTTGGAGGAGCAGCGAAAGGAGCTGAAGCAGATGACCGAAACCCAGGAGAGCATGGCTGGTGCCATGGATTCGGCTTGGCTTTGCCTTTGTGGGGCACTGGTTATGTTTATGCATGCAGGATTTGCAATGTTGGAAACCGGCTGCTGCCGCGCAAAGAATGCCTCGAACGTTTTGATGAAAAATTTAGTCAATGTGACTAGGTGGCACTTTGGGAAGCTGCTTAAATTTCCGTTATGGTTCCTGTAGACAGAGGTACCTACTCATAAATAATTTTGGGGGGCCCGGAACTACAACAACCCAGGTGAGCGTGGGCACATTGGGTTGGTGGATGTTTGGCTGGGCCCTTGCCTATGGCTCTCAAGTCGGGTCTTTCATTGGCACAGATGGCTTCTTCGGCCTTGGCTTCTACACTAAAGATGCATCGGGCAACATCGTCCGCATGCCAGAGAG